AAATTACAACCCGTTCACACTCTTCCACCGACAATCACAAGACGGCGTCGGCCCTCCAGCATTCAGATGGGTTCGTCGGTCGACGGTCAATGATTCAAGCCTGACACACACTGCGCAGACGGTCGTCAACCCACCCGATTCCGGTTGGTTCCATAGAGAACTCAATTTGACGAGGCGCACGCTGCGGATCGTTTTAAATGCGATCCGCTCTGACTGCCAATAAAAAACATCCTCCTCAAGTGCTTGCACTGGCCGTAAAACGTAGTGTTTGAATAGTGCGCCCAGCTTTTGGTGAAGCAAGAAGGCCTAAACGTGCTATAAAATGTAAACGAAATAACTATTTTAATAGTTATTTAAATAAGTTACCCTTGCATAATTCTCTATACAATTTGTTTCTATTTTTTCCAGGACAAAGGAATCGAAAAAAAAACCACACATACACAAATTCGTTACATTTCCTTAAAACATATTTATAACATGGCTGGTACGGTATTCAGATCACTCACGGTACCGTAAGTCTTTATAGCGTTTTACCCTGTTTCCATAATCACATTAATAAAACATTAAACAGAACATAATAATACACCATGAAAGATCATGTATTATATATAAACTTACTTCACGGTGCCTACTTGGCTTTAATACCATCAAAATCAATGGTACATTATTTACAAATTATTTAATTGCACAATATATTTACACCCTGTTTTCGTCATTATTATCGAATCGTGTTATTTACACATTAACATGAACACAATATTTCAACAAGAGTTTCCCATCATAAAAGCAATTTTATACAATTTTATAAATACGATCATATTAAACGTAGTATTTACGCTAATAATGGTCCAAGGCAACAATTTTTAGAGATATAAAGAAAGAAAAAATCACATACAAGCCACAATGTATTACAGTCTAACATTAATATTAATTACTATCCTTATGCAAGCATATATTAAAATGATATAGATTTACATTTTTGTAATTATTGATATGAGAGCCTGCAAAGGCGCTCCAACTGGTTAATAGATTTTGAAATTTAATATTACTAATAGGCCTATGTCTAATCAGTCATTATTAAGATATGAATATATCAGAAAGTTTAAACTTACTCCTGAATTTTAGGAAATTAAACACGATCTCATTAAAAGAAAATATGATCATATAAATTAAAGATAACAATGAAATACTTGAAATAATTCAGCTATGTTTCAAAGTTCACGACGGTATACGTTTGTTCTGGAGGCATGGTTTGATTGAATTGATAGATGGATTACCGTGGATATACCATCGCCTTCGGGCTTTCATTTTTGTCACACTCAACATTAAAAAAAATATATGCCTAGGCCTATGGGAGTTTCTTTTACAATTCCCCTAATGCGTAAAAAGCCGTTTAAAAATGTGGATATATTCGTATATGATTGGATGATCATTGTTATAGGTTGATTTATAAACTGAACATATGATATTAAAAACTATGAAACTATGAAGACATTCAATATAATACACTCGTAATAAAATAAAATATAAACTCCATTGATCGAGCCGGACATTAGCACAGTGTATAAACTAATCGAATGGTACATTTCAGAAAAGGTCAGTCAATGCGTAGGACCATGCGCCTAGATTTACAATAGTAAACTTACTCAGTAGTGGAGCCACCGGGGAAGGGGTATTTCCCACCTCCCCGTCGGACAGGCATGGAACCCATGTCGTCCGACAATAATTTGCCGACAATAATTTGCCTATCCAAATAAAGTTATTTTTGATTGCCAAGCCCTAATATTGTGGTAAAAGAACGATTTGGACCATACTGAGCCATAAAAACTCTCCCCGTACACCCTACCAGGGATTTATTTTATTCCGGGACCCGACCGAGGCTCTAGTCGGCCTCTTGGTTCGGACTCCTCCGTCGGACATGTGGGACTCCTTGTCGGCAAATTTCTGCAGCCACCGCTGAATTCTATAGATACCAATTTTCAATAACCAGCTATCTCAACATTTAAAAGGCTATCCGTCAGAATTTTGTTATGTTACGGTATATAACTATAACCGTAAGCCTATAGTATGCCTTTTCTCACACAACATGTACAGTAATTCGTTGCTAAATGCCACGGAGGTGAGAAACGTGAGTAGCATCGTGGCGGCCCTTTTTATTTTATTTTTCTTTAATTACGAAATCAACAAACATGTATCAATCTGGTGCGAAACTGACAAGTTAACGCTAACAACCAATTTTCAACTTCAAAGCACTTCAAATTCTGGAATTTGATGGACTTTCAAAATACCCGCGTGATAGAACCTAAAAAATACAGACTACTTCAAAATGTTTATTTTATAAACTGTTATCATAGCGTCGGAATGACACGGACAGTGTGTTTTAGACTCAAGAAAACGTACTAAGCCTTTCCGCTAAGCCCCGACCCTTGGATATTGATGGTCCCACAAAACTACAGTGTCGTGTAAACGCGTCAGTTTGTGGGACAAGCGCGTACTCTGGCCCTGTTCTGATTGGTCAGTTAAGTTTAATTGACATTTCGGAAAGGTCATTTAAAGATTAATTTGCTGTCGTAAAAACAATGCAATTTTAAAAGGTATAATAATGCCAAAAATTAAGAATAGCATTACACATGATATACGAAAATAAATGATAAATAGATAAAAAGAACAGCTTTCACCCTCAATAAGATATTTCAATAAAGTACTCTAATTTATGCCCTTAAAATTGCCTAATTTATTACATTCAATCCTGATATATTTAAATAACGTAATAGCATAACCTTAGTCTTTATACGGTACCGTTTATGAGTACAACCTCAGTGTAATACACTTTTTTTAACAAAAAAGAAAAATATGAGAAAAATAAAAACCTGTAGGCCTAGGCATATGAAGTGGAAATTGCATTTCCACCGACAACAGTATTTTTCATTAGTTCCATGATTTCTCGCTTCGGCAGATTTGGCTACCATCACATGTATTTGAAGAAATTGGTAATGCGACGGTGTTCTAATTTACCAAAAAATAAACCTAGGCATAATTATGTTAAATTAATGTTGATAAAGACAGAAATAAAGTACGGTAATTAAAAATTATTTCATCATCAATTTGAACTACTGAGTACTACTTTTACCCACCAAATGTTTTAACGATAATGCCAATGAAAAGATACATACGATATTCTGTAGGCCCATTTTTTTTTTTATATATCGATGAGCCCTTAATTTGTATCAATGTTGGCATCACTGGGTGTAAGGATTATTTTAAGCCCTTCTAATTTACAACTTAATCTTTTTAATCCTTCCTATCCAGGGAACATTTTTAAAAGCGCATCGCTAAGCCCAGGGGCAATTTGACGATTAGAAGAACCAGGAAGCTCTTGGACAGTGTGCAGAAGTATTGATCAGACGCTGGTGTTGATATGTTTACCGTACGAAAAAATCTGACTGAATCTGGCTCCAGTAATATACTTGGGGGAAAAACTTTTCTTTTCTAATTCAACTTACGATATTTATTTTCTTTTGATTAAATTTACCAAGGTCCTACGTATACTAAAAGGGGATAGTGTTAAATTTTTTGAAATTGGCATATCATTATTTATAATATTTTTATCAATTTGGATGTTTATGTTTCACAATTTGAAGCTAAATATTTTTCAATTCATCGTATGTATAAGAACATACTTTGTTTCTAGTCGACAAAAGTCGAGATGAAAACGAATCATGAATAATGGTTTAGGCCGATGGAACTGTTCATTATGAATGACAAATGAGGATGAATAAGAAATCAAAAGCACGTATCACAGCACCGGTTCATTCAAAGTTACTAGGCCTATAAATACAATCGTTATAAAATGTTTTAAATAGGCCTATATAAATATGTATTGCCTAGATATCAACCAGAACTATATGATCGTATCATGGAGGTTTATGCTCGTAGTAGCCTCTACCTATACCAGTTTTGTTAGGTATTCATTCAAGTTTACTTATTTTAAAAAGTAAATTATATAAACTTGGCACATGTATGTAGAAAATGAAAATTCCGATTCCTCGATTATCAACTCAGAATCCAAGTACAAACTTCCATGCACTTGCTTCCTGGTCCTACAACAATTTTTCACACATTTTTAAGAATGATACGATTTTAATAAGTTCGCGTACCCTCGAGTATTCTCTATCATACGGTTAATAAAGCATTGTCTTCTAATATTAAAAAAAAATATCCAGCATCCGTAATGATGCATCTATACTCAAATAACTCGAACTGTACACGGTAAATTGACGAGGAAAAGATGGTGTGTGTGCGCTCCCTGGAGGCCTTCAGACCACATTCTAACCCGGGAGGTTATTTGCAAAAATCTATTATGAAAGACATCTCCCTCTGTCTATGTAATTGGATAGGAAAATCTGTGTTCCCAGAAGTAATAAAAGGGATTTTTAATTTGGAATCTTAGAGGAAAATATTTATGCTTTTGACATAATTCCTACAGAACGTAAATTTACGCAAAGAACGTAATGATCTTAAATGTAACCTCTTATTGAATTTACTTATACCTTTATATTATGTATGTATATACAATCAAATAATTAATTTACATATATATACAAGGCATATACTCTTACACAAGCAATGAATCGAAAATACATGTATTAATATTTTGGGGGGAATGGTAAAAGTATATTTTAGGTAAAAGAATACGGAGAGCACGGTTAGGTCTAACTTAATACAGTAAGCTACTTTCCAAAATAGGCCAACAAATTAAGTTATTAAAGTTACAGAATTTTTAAGACTATTAACTCAACACAGATAGTATATTTTGAGGTATCATATTAGTATGTCTAGGAGTATTGACAAGTAAGAGGGAGGCTGATTTTCCCTCAAGCCCACCTCCAAAAGGTACGCCACTGACCACGTGACAGAAACCTCTTAAAATATGTGGTCCCTACATTTGTAACCTTAGTGTATTTCTTGAAAATAAATTTACATTATAAAATTTAAGTTTCTTTTTTAGGTATAAGTCTACAATCAATTTGCTCACTTAAAAATTGGAAAACGTCAACAATTCTTGTTTAAATCGTGGACAAATTGGCCTGGCTGATGGGATGGTAAGAAGCGATTGCCAGTGGAACGTCTGCTTAATTAAAATTTCAAGTAAGGTTGTTAGAGAAGTGATGCATTAGGTAAAAATAATGAGCATACTTTTCATGAAATTACATCAGCATTTCTCCTCTTACATTTTCAAAAATAACCATCGAGAAAAAAATTTTGAGATAAGTACAAATAACTTACAAGATTGAATACTGTACATACATTCTTCACACGTTACCAATAACTTCTTAAACATAGTAGTGTGTACAAGAAATTCTTACGATTGAGCACATTACAGATACGCGGTAAACATGAATTTTATCAACAATTTACCAGATGTTGCCAGGCAGGCTTTATGAAAGCAGGTCTATGTAAACGTCTGGGGGAACACCGCTGACTGGAATACCATTTGTTGTGCTCCTTGGTGGCCTATCATTTGTTCTGGAAAGTGTCCTGCCCATGAGGATTTCTTTCCTGGTTTCAGACTCATAAATGAATCAGCGACATATTTTGCCGGAAAATTACAATTGGCACTAAAGCTTTGATAATTGGGCGGCAAATTTGAAATCGAAGAAGCCATACGACATGCTGGGTTGTCGTCTGCCGGTGCAGATGTATTGCTGTAGATGCAATGAGAATTTGTACCAAAAACTGGACGCCTTATTTGAGAAATGGAGTCTGCAGATGCAGGAATTTGACACACTCTATTAGAATTTTGGGGTATTGGGTTGTCGGATCCCGGAATTGAAGACTCGTACCAATTTTGCCCTGAGTGCGGTTGGGTGTGGTATCCGTTTTGAATATTATTCGCCACTTTTTCAATACAATGTTCATTTTCTCTTTGGTAGTCGGACACCCCTATACAGCAATCTGATCTGCTTACCCCACAAGATTTGTAATTTTCTAGTTTCATTGAACAATTACTGAGGGCAGAAGCGTCTGTGTTCAAATGATCCAAATGCGTGGCTGACTCCCCTGCGTGTATCTTCTGTGATCGCTTCTTGGCGGCTTGTTTCAGGGCTACCCGTTTCTGTTTCATACGTCTGTTTTGAAACCAAACTTTTACTTGGCGTTCTGTTAGCTCCAGCATGGCGGCGATTTCAATCCTTCTCGGCCGGCACAGGTACTTATTGTAGTGAAATTCTTTCTCCAGCTCAAGCAATTGTGTTGTAGTAAATGCAGTCCGTGCTCGCCTTGGTGGTTCACTTTTCGAATTTTCTAAAAAGAGATAAAGTTGCAACAATTAATTTAAATTAGTAATGTAAATACTGTACATTCAAAGATATTATTTAGTTATTTAGTTAAATATACTGTACGATAGTACACTAAACGAATGTTGCATGCTCGTTACAGCACAGTATTGAAACTTTATCTTAAATTTGAGGGCGCACTTTCAATGCAATATTAAACGTTACCGGACAGTAAATAGAAATTATGTCCTTTATAGTTGTGATGTTACAAATACAATGCATTTAATACACAAAATGTAGTTTTAATGCCTGTCTCTTATACACATCTAGATGTGTATAAGAGACAGATATATATGTGTGTGTGTGTGTGTATATATATATGTATATGTATAGTATTGTTAATAAAGTACATAAATTAGGACTAAGTAACGAATAGGCATGTGGCTATAACTATATATAGGCATATATATATATATATATGTATATATATATATATATATATATTATAGTATTGTTAATAAAGTACATAGATTAGGGCCAAGTAACGAATAGGTCTATGGCTATAACTCTAGTTCTTTAGAAATCAGATAGCTATTTCGCGGCTCTCGCTAATCTACTGTATTATGCTTTTAATATAGAATATACCATAATACGTAATACAATGTCAACATAATCTAGTTGGAACATTACGTGTTATAGATACGAATATCATTATAATGTTGCAATGGTAGGATAGTGATCCCAATATTAGGTCTAAATTAAAAAAATCAAGGAATATTGTCGACAACAAGTGCCTTGAAAGTTTAAGATAGGGTATATGTACATAATTTTAAAAAAACATATATGTAGTACAATACATTAATATATTAAATATTCAAATTAAAATGATAAAGTAAAACAGCAAATCATGTGTTTTATTTCCAGGCTTAAAGTTTTTTTATAAGCCAATGCGCGCTGAAGGATGGAGTGGTAAGCAAATCTGCGTGGCCATGCCTTCTGCACTGCGGCGTTCAAATGCAATCCCTAGCCTATCCAGAATTTTATGCGGAGAATAACAAACACATTGTTCTTCCCTGTAATTTGTCAATTCTAATATTTACTCGTTTTTTCTTCGATCATTTATAGCCTCATTAATAAACTAATTGACGAGTTATCGCTGTGCTTATCAATGAAAGTATCTCTGAAACCGTTCCCGTGGAGACCAGCCCACACTACGTGAGTAGCTTTCAAACATCTCGGTACCACAATGGTCAGTTGCAGTGTAGGTTTTTTCTATCCTTTATGTGTGTAATTTTAAATTTCATACTCGATTCTACATTACATTAAGTGATACGGATCGGCTTTATTATCAACGATGAAAGAGAATTAGCGTTGAAAAGAATTGAAAATGAATAGGCTTTCTTCATAGTATGATTGATTGGCAACAATTGTATAAACAATATCAATATTAACATAAATGATAAAGGTATCAAAAAACAGCATGACAAATGATGACGAAACGTGCATAGATACACTTTAACTCTACAATTCTATGGCTGCGATATGAATTCAGTCTGATTCAGTTGTTTTGACACCATGTTTGAATAGGCAGTTTCCATATATTTAAAAGGATACAACCAGGCCTACTAAAACAGATAGGAAAAACCTTTAAGGACTGCACTAGGGCCTAGGTGTCAAATAATATTCCACTCACCTGATGGGCATACATTGCTAGCAGAAACTCGCTAAAGTTAGTCACAGGATTGCTTCGTCTATTTTTACTTCACATATTATTAAATCATACTATATCTTACCATACAATACCATACCGGTACCATACTACACTACTGTATACCACACCATGCCAAACCATACCATACCATACTATAATACTATACTATTACTCTCAAATAGTTTTATCTGGTTTCTGTTATAGGCCTATATAAACGTAGACAGTAGGTACATTTAATGGTTTACTTACAAGAATGTTGTCTGTTTACATATACCATTACTATACTATAATATAATATACTATACTATACTATACTATACTATACTACTATACTATACTATATTAGGGGCCTATACTATACTAAATTATGCTAATAGGCTTAGACTAATGTGTACTAGGCCTATCTCTCCATATGGTCATCAGCCAGAACATTTACCACTAGAATGTACAGAATGTTAATGAAGTTGAAAAAACAAAACATACTGTAGTACCATTAATAATGGACCAATCTGAAAGAAATATCTTTAATTTATCATTTGAAATATAAAAACATCATTTTACCCTTCACTGATTTAGGCCTGGGTATTCAGAAATTGAAATATTATAAACTACAAAACAAATTAAATCGGAAAATGTGCTTTAGTAATGGTGCTCGGTCTGCATGAGTCATTGGAAAAATCTATTATATAACGGGTTTAACCTAGGCCTACGTTTCATTCAACAAAGGTACGTTTAGATACATCAACCGGTAGGCCTACCGCTACAGGGGGAGGCTTCATATGGTGATCAGTGGCAGAATCGTTATAACGTCAATTACATTACTGTACAATTGTAATATACAATTATTAAAAGTGGAAAGAGAAATGAATGATAATAATAATAATAATAATAATAATAATAATGATAATAATAATAATAATAATAATAATAATAATGATAATAATAATAATAATAATAATAATAATAATAATAATAATAATAATAAAATTAAAAATAATGATAATAATAATAATAACAATAATAATAATAATAATAATAATAATAATAATAATAATAATAATAATAATAACAAATAGTCTGCTGTGAAAAATAAATCGACTATTAAGCGTATTTAATCCTTCATTGATAAAAGTACAGTTGGTCTGATCCGTCGTTATGTATGTTTTCAATTAAGGTGACGATAGGTCTATACTATCCTGTCTATGGATACACAGGTCTAAAGTTAAAAAAGAAAGAACAAGATGAAAATTGTTGCTTGTTGCTTTAATCAGGATTGGAGATATGATAAACAAATCTAAAATAAATATTCATAATTTTATTATCAGTCACAGGTTCAAACCTCAATTTTCTTTTAAGTTAATAAGCAATAGACCTATTAATAGTCCTAATTTTTTGTTTAGATAAGGCCTAAGTTAACTGGTATATAAACGCTCCTGTATTCTCTGCACGACCCGATGAATTGGCTTGTAATAAACTTCATAGCATAGTAAAATTACGTATAGCAGCTAAAAATGAATTAGTTAAGTTAGAAAAGTTAAGACCACTGATGAAGGACTAGTGTTTTCCGAAACCTTTTGGTTCTTTCTGGCTAT